TTTTGGGGGGGGGGAGTGCGCCCACAACCCCCGTCCTCTCCTAGATACGCCACTGTATACAATAATAGAGACACAAATAAATTATTATCATTGAGAAATAAGTCCTGTTCCATAACACGTTTTATGACATCGCATATACCATGATCCTTACAATATATTGATATTAATTTATTGTTAATCACTATTCATAATATACGCAGATAGATAAAAATTATCAATCTACTTTAAGTTGCACTTGATTTGGTCTAGTATTTCTAATGATTCTTCGGCCTTTGACCTATATATTTAATAAATAGGCATACAATGTTCTAGCTTTCGAATTATTATGAAATATCTGATTGACGAGACCGAGTTGATTGCATATAATACCACGACTTACATTGTTGATATTTAAACTATGTAGAAAATTTAACATTTGTGGAAGAAACATTTTTACACATTCCGATACATTGGAGGGAATAAACCATTCTATTTTCCGTAAGCCATATGGTATTCACAGATCTAATAGTCACTTATATGGCAGAAAGTGCATGGAGGTTAGACCTGACAACATCTCATTTCAATCAATTCATATTATTTCAGACAATGTCAATATCAAATTAAAAAACAAATGAGATTAAAAAAAAAATTGCTAGAAAATAAAAACATAGAAATAAACAATACACAACTTAGCAAATTTCTGCCAAGCAAACTATGTAGACCTACAATATGAAAAAAAATGTAGCTCAATGACACCAAGGAAGCCCAAGTGACTAATTTTACTCATCTTCATACAAGATACAAGATACATTTATTTGTCAACGTGTAAAACCTTGTTCACATGAAATTTGGTTTCCAGATTCTTCAACAGTGAATAAAAATAAAATCTTAAACTACAACATATAAGAAGATCATGCGAAAGACAAGTAGGTCTAACTATAAAGAAACATTACAATCAGTGGCGGCGCCAGGATTTCCCCGACGAAGGATCCAAGGTCCCCGACGGGGGCAGGGGCTGATGTCCCCGAAGAGAAAAAAGTGGGCGTGGTTGGGCATCGCTAAAAACCTTTCGAAAGTGGTCCAGGGGACGTAACCCCCTCCCCCACAACCGAAAATATGACAATTTAGGGGTTTTAAAGGCTTATTTAATCGATTTTAGAGCCTATGTACAAAATGCATATAATTTATTTTAATTTTTTTTCTTCCCGACGATTCAACCAATCACGTACTCGTATTTACATAGGCTATGTAATATAATAATATATATATAGTTCCATAGGCGTCTAATCCAATGACCGGTGTAGTAATGTGAAGCGCTTGGCCTTGTTAGCATTAAGCGTTATATAAATACATAATTATTATTACATTAATAATTTGTACAAACATAACTCAATTTAACGGAACATATATTTCTCTTTTCATTCATGTACAGCTTATAAAGATATTGATAAATATTTCAGTTTGAAAGAGAGGCGAAAACCCCCCAAAAAACAAAAGTTTGTTAAGGCCTCCCTGAATCAAAAAGAAAAAAAAATCATTATATTATAGAGATATGCTGTTAAAAATTTACATAACTTACATAAAATAAAAACCGTTATAATAAATCAGTGATACACATTTTTTTTAAATTGTATTGGTTGGAAGTATATCTTCGCTACTTGTGTTACCGGTTAAAACATGATCAGATCACTGTATGATTATGTCTGCTTCTCCTGTGACTCCAATTAACTCAGTGGACGAGAATGACATAATGATGTCCCGCTCACCCGTTTTTTGCTTAGCCACCAACTTCACTTCATATTCCACGGTCTCATTAGCCTTTATAATTCTGAAATTAGAAAATATCGTTGAAAACATCCAGAAAATCTCTAGTTTAAATCGAGATGCAAAACAGCTGTATTCTAAATTAATTTAACTCGTTATAACATCAGCGATGATATGTCTATTAATAGCATGGTAAATGTTGCTAAAATTTACAATCCATAGATCAACACGGGCTCTATTAGTGTACAAGGCAGAATATTCCCATAAAAATTAATTATTGAACACAATAAATAAACCCAAAAGAATCATAATAGACATTTCCGCAAACCCCCGCGAAACGGCAGCATAAACGTACCTAAACATACGTGCTTGTGTTAAGGCCAACTCAGACAGCGTCGGCCGACGCAGCCCGACCCGATTTATCGTCGGGGACAGTCTTAAGCCGTCGTGAGAA